CAATCCAAACCATTCTATGATTCTATATGCAGTTACATGCTCTTCACTTTTTTGAACAGGCTAATCAAATTTTCCTGCTCTAAAGGAATACTGTTACTGATCTTTCACCTTTAACAACTTTTAACAAAGGTCTAGGAAACCCAAATTTTGTTGATTTTTGCTAGAAACTATAATGTTAATATCACGGCATTCACTGCTTAAAAAACTTAACCTGTGGTAAAGAAAGTAAAAATCCTTTTATTAATACCTATTTTCTGTGTGTTGTATCAAGTATCCCCTTCAGTGTCCTTGTCAGCATCTTAGTATTGAAATAAATGCAAAAGTTTGACGTACTCGATCGCTGAAGTCACTTACTGAATAGACATCACCCTGGACCTGAAAGTGCAGGCTTTATGAGTCACAAAGCGGATTTTCCAAGCACTGTATAGTGTGTTTTTAAAGTGAGGAATATGGAGAGCCTAAAAAAAAAATATTACTTTATTTGTTGTCATCTCAGATTATGAATCATTAAAATATTCAACATAAACTGATTTTAATACAGCACATTTCTTTCAGCTATTTCTTTTAGATTCTTTTTATTGATTGCTTGTCATGGCAACAGGAGGTGGTCCCTTTGAAGAAGGCATGAATGATCAGGACTTGCCTAGCTGGAGCAATGAGAGCCTTGATGACCGGCTGAACAACACGGTATAATTCATCTTACCTTTCGGTTGCCATTTTATGCTGTACATTGAAATTACCAGGTAGATTCTGTTAGTGGCAAGTAACAGTGCAAAACTGTAAGCCTTGTCAGTGCAGCTTTACAGGTATCTGCAAAACCAACAAAAATAGCTGAGGTAAATGTAAACAAGTAATGAGCGTAATTCAGAGGTTGTGAAGTCTGTAGATGTATTTATGGGAAGTGTTTTGGGTAAATAAAGTAGCTAGGCACCAAAGTGTTGTAGGTGTTATGAAAGTGAGAACTCTAATTTTAAAAGTTCTAAACTGCTGAAGAGTCTTTAGCAAAGAAGAAAAATAGAATTTTAGCTTCATTTGAAACCAATTAAATGCATTGTAGGATGAAGTGGGTTTAAAATTTCCCGACAAACTTTTTTATTTATGCAGTGGAGAAGATTATATTTTGTAATGTGACATTTGCTCTATAAAACTTAGTGCATATAGATACTGCTTTTTTTTTAACTTCTGTAATGGAAATAAACTCTCTTTCACTGAATTAAAACATTTACTTTTTATCTGTATGGATAACAAATACAACTTTTTTTCTTCCCTCTCCTTCCTTTTAAGGACTGGGGAAGTCAACAGAAGAAAGCAAACAGATCTTCAGAAAAAAACAAGAAAAAGCTTGGTGGGGAAACTGAAACGAGGCTTACTAATGATATATCTCCAGAATCCTCACCTGGGATGGGACGGCGAAAGACCAGAAGTCCTCATAGTTTTCCTCATGCTCGATACATGACCCAGATGTCTGTTCCAGAGCAGGCCGAGCTAGAAAGGCTTAAACAAAGAATAAACTTCAGTGATCTGGATCAGGTTTGTGTGAATACTAGCTCCCACTATAAATGTGACTACAAAATTTATTCAGCTGTTTCTTAATAATTTGACAGGTGAATAAGCTTTCATAAGCAATTAAGATTTTAAAAAAGCTTATAGACACCATGAGATCCAAATCAAAATTCTGTTTTTGAACTTGAGAAGATTGTGGAAAGTTTTTCCTATGCTTTAGACTGTTAACTGTCTTCACTTTCTTCTTCTCAATTGTTAACAAATTTCTGTGTCCTCAGATTTAGTAATCATCATACTTGTCTGCCACTCAGAAATCCCTGTTACTGTATTTTGAAAGTCTGTTCTTGAAGTGCCAGTTTGTGGTTCTGAACATTGTTATCTTTGTGGGTTAAGCAAAAGAGTAGCATTAAAAATTGCTCCTTGGTGGAGCGTAGGGAAACATACGGCATGAATTCTTGAGCCGTAACTGCTTCTTTGGGAATATGAGTGATTAATTATTTGGTAACAAGGCATAAATTTATGCTAACAGTTTCAGAATAGAGGCTTCTTAATCTTTGACAACATTTGTTGTTGTTTGGATTGTGAAGATGAGGTATCGTATTTTATAAGTGAATATGTTGTTATTTTATTATTGTTGTTCTCTCAAATGTACCTGGCGAATGAGGATGCTTTCACTATAGTAAAGGTGGAGGCCACAGCAAGGATGAGGAACTGAGCTCTGAAGAGCTGCAGAACTTTTTTGCTTCTCAGCTGTTCTGGGAGGGTGGGCTTGCTTTATGAAAACTGTATGGCAAAAGTCACCAGCACTGTTTAGCTTTTGGCTAGTCCATGACTAATAAGGTAACTTTAAAATCAGTTCAGTGATACTGTATAAATGGTAATCCAAGCAGTGAAACTTGTCAATGTTGAGAGTATATTGGAGGAAAAAAAAAAATTGTTCTTTTTGTTTTTTTGTTTATAGAGAAGCATTGGAAGTGATTCTCAAGGCAGGGCAACAGCTGCTAACAACAAACGTCAACTTAATGAAAATAAAAAACCATTCAACTCCCTGTCACTGCAGATAAACACGAACAAAAGCAAAGATCCTGCCTCAGCTTCCCAAAAAAAGGATAGTGAGGTATCAGTGCAATGTAAAGAGTTATTTGGAGCTGCTCTAAGCAAGGATTTCTTGCAAAATTGTCAAGTCTCTGCTCAAGAAGATGGAAGGGGAGAACCAGCTATGGATAGTAGCCAGGTATTTACACAACCTATAAAGCCCACAGAAGATTGTCTTATACAGGTTTTAATTACTTTGTTACTTTTCAGTGCATTTTTCTAAATTGCCAAAAAGTATAACTGTTAAATCTTTATTGGAAATACTTATCTTCCCACTGTTCTAAAAGGCAAATTGAGAAAAATGTGAAACCAAACTTAATCATGTATTGTTCTTTAGAAATCTGCTTATTGGTAACAGCAGCAGTATTAATTTTCATCTTAAGAGGTTGGTTCTCTTTATTATAGAATTCCAGAAAATACTCTCACAGTTTAGTAGTTAATGAGCTCAATTCTGCTTTCGCCTATGTCAGCCAAGAAGCCCCGTGCTTCGTCCTTGCAGCTTCATGCATGCATAAGTCTGTCCTTATAAAAGTTGTTGACTTTTAACCACGCGCAGAAGTGTGCTTATAGGATTGAAAGTACTAGTATGTCACCCCTTTAATTACTGCTCTGCTGTTGCTATCACCATATCTTTTGCATTAAATATATTAAAGCTGTAGCTGAATGCATTCAGTAACTTCAGTGTCTTTACAGATTGTGAGCAGACTAGTTCAAATTCGCGACTATATTGCTAAGGCCAGCTCCCTGCGGGATGATCTTGTAGAGAAAAATGAAAGATCGGCCAATGTTGAGCGTTTATCACACCTTATAGATCACCTTAAAGAGCAGGAGAAATCCTATCTGAAATTTTTGCAAAAGATGCTTGTAAGTTTGAGAACATAATATTTGTTTCTGCACTGTAAGCTTTTTTAGCAGTTGACCATTGATGTTTTGAGGGTGCTATTGGGAATGTTGGTTTGTTGCCCCCTTAAATACCTTTTGATTTATACCAATGAAATATTTCAGGCTAGAGAAAATGAGAAGGATGATGTTCGGACTATAGATTCAGCTGTGGCATCTGGTTCTGTAGGTGAGAGCACGTCGCTAAGCATTGATGTACAGTTTGAGGCTTCAGATACCACAGTAAGCTGCCTTTTAGTAATTAAGGTGCTAGAAATGAAGACTTTGTTTTGTTTTTGTCATGATTGTTATGATCTGCAATTCAATTTAAAAAATTAAATCCCCAAAGAGGGCAGAGTTCAGGAGTATGGACTTTTAATTTTTTTTTTTATATATATGGGGGAAAAAAATAATTATTCAGTTGTTACAACAATGTATCTTGATTAGTTTTTAAAAAATATTTAGTCTTTCTTCAAAGTAGAGTAAAGGTTTAAATGTTTACTTTGTCAGAACATGCACTGGATTGATGTAGGAAGGAATAGTTTTCTATACAGCTTTTCATCTGTAAGTTTGTTTCTGTTAGTGGGTAAATGTTGCTGGTGTTGAGTGTGGGGAGGGTTAGAAGTGAGTCATTAGTGGACTGTTGCCAAAGCATCTTTCTAGTGATATGATAAAAGTATTGACCTAACGCAGAAGTTTCTCTCCTTTTTTGGAGGGATGAGCACCTCTTTGAAAATGTGTTCTGAATTTAGTTCTGAGATATACACAGACAATCTTCCTTTCTATTTATAAAAGCTTTTATATTAATGTGGTAAACAGTTCTTGTACTAGGTACAAAAGCATTTTTATAACAACTTGTGTTTTACATCTTCCAATACTACTATACTGAGAAAAATGGTTAGAGAGCTGGTACTCTTTTGGTCAGTTTGTACTCTGAATGTTCTACAGATGAGGAGAATTTACGTGCTTGGAAATAAACCAGCAGTTAAAGCATTAAGAAGTTTTTGTAATTATTTTTAGCTTTGTAAGAACTCTTTCTATCCCTATAAAGAAATAAAGTGATAGACATGGAAGATGTACTTCAAACTTAAAAAAAAATAAAATTGAAAAATACAGAAAAAGACCAGTACAGTACATGTAAACTTGCATTTTTCTTCATCTTTGCAAAATGGGTTTTAGTTTTTTGTTTGGCTCTTCATTTGCATATAATTTCTCTTTACATGCAGCTTGAATATATTACATGCAGAATGAACACTTCTACTTTTATGCAGTTAATTGCTATATGGAGCCTTATTGTTACAAAAATTCTAAGAATGACTGAAAATGTCTTTACTCTTTAGTAGTTTTATTTGATACTTGTTTTCATTATTTGACAAGCTACAAGTGAGTAGATTTCAACTTAAAAATGAATGCTAAGTTGGAGCATGTGTTCAAGTTCTAACATACTAGAACTTGACTAAACTATTTAATAAAGAAGATACCTTTTAATTGGAGTACTTGACCCTGCATTGAGAACAGACTAGGGAATTCAGCTTCACAAGAACAGGTTACAGACATTGATGTTACAGCAGTCCCTAAAGGGAAAAGTGGCAGAGCTGTTCTGAATGACAGGGAAATCTGACCTTGTGGGATTAATAGCCAAGAACATGGATTGCCTTCAAAGATACACTTCAAAATACCATTTTAGCCTCAAATAGGGTTTATACATGCTGATTTTTTTTTTCTTTCCCCTCCTCTTAACTGCTTCAAATATATTTGTTACTTACACTGAATGTTCCTACTTGGCCTGCTTATCTGTATCCAGCTGTCTTTTCATTGGATGAATCTTCTTTGTCTAGAGATTTTTTTTTTCCTTTAAATAGAGATGTTTGACAGCTTTTTCTGAAGTGTCAGTGTTGGCAGAGAAAGTACTACATGTAACTCTGTAGAGCAGGTGTTCTGATTTTATGTAGATGATCTTTCCAGTTTTGCTGTTCTCTTTATGGGAAAACATATTGTAAATGTGACTTTCACGTACTTGTCATGTTGACATCAATAGTGTACCAATGCAAATTTAAGCTAATACCATATAGAGAAAATAATTTAGAGAATAGTAGCCTTAATTTGTTCCACAAATGTTTTTATATAGCTGTATGTATAAATATTTGGTTGGAGGGGGGAAGACTAAGGGTCTTGGAGTCTAAACCTTCTTTTGATATCTGTTACCAGCTTTTCTATGGCTTTGTCTCTTCATCTGAAAAAAAAAAAAAAAAGGGAAAAAAGTCTATGTTAGATTATTTTTTTTCTGTAAAATAAAAGGCTTAAATGTTTTGTCAAGTTTATTAGTCTTAATGTAGAACTAAGCTTGAAAAATGTTAGATGTTTTTAATGAACTCAAGCAAATCTAGTACTTTAGATAAAGCTTGGATTATTTAATAGATGAGTGAGGCTGAGACACATCCCCTCTTCCCTTTCTTCTCCTTGTTCCTTCCTGTGTCGGTTTCATTGTGTACTCTCTTTTGCCTCTACTCTACTTTTATATGTAAGATGAAAGTTTAACAGGAATGATCAGTGCCAGTTGCAGTGCATGCTTTAGTGACGCTTTGAGAGTTTAGAATTCTGGATATGTTCTTTCTCTGCTGAAAAGTTGAACATTCCCTCGTACCCAGAACTAGTTAATAAGATGCCTGCTTCTATTCTGACATTTGGTGTAGAATTTTTGGATTGAGAGAATTTTATACTTCAGGAACTCAGCACTACGTGGAGAGAAGATGATGCTTCTAAGTTAGTAATGTTCTTTTTAAGCAGTTGTCAACTCCTAACAAAAAGGAGGCAAATTTTTCCATGGTTTCATCTGCGTAGTGCGATAATCCAACTTCAAACAAAATCAGGATCTTAACTGTGGATATCTCATTAAAATACTTAATTTGCTGACAGTCCTTGAATTAAAGTTTTAAGGCAAATCTCCAGCTTTTAATTAGGATAGGATGAGGAAAATAACTTAGTTTTAATATATTTTAAGTGCATAACATGCTTTCATGCCTTCAGATCTATTTCCATGCATTTGAAAATACGATAAAGAGGGGGTTCCATACATGTTTTTGTTTTGAAATTGGTTTACTGAAATCTGTTCTGTTCTAGTATCTATGGCATAAGTAAGCGTACAAAACTAACCACATTATAGGTTGGAGAAGAGTAACTGTCCAAAACGTTCTGATGAAAATTTAGAGATTTCAGGCCAGTAAGTCAATCTAGATCTTGTAGTATTTGTAGCTCCATGATATGATGCCTTACCGTGCTTAGCTTTACCAATCTGGTAGCTTAATGCCCTCTTTCATGATTCAAAAGACAGAGGGATGCTTGGGTTAGCCTTTGGGTCGCGTTAGGGCAGCTGACTGGGTTTCTGAAGAAAACTTAATCCCTAGGAATGGTAGGCCTGTCTTGGTGGTACAGGCTTCTCCCTGTTAAATTGCTAAAATTTTTAGACTGAAAAGAACTACTGGAAGGGTGAAGCTGTTTTATTTTCACCTTTTTACACTAACCAGACTGTTTGCTTCTATTAAAGTCCTGCTTGTTTTGACACTTCTGTCACTAGTACTCAACAAATAAATTGTCATGATTATGGCAATGTTCTTCCATATCTTGCAGGCCAGAGATCCTCAACAGGAAGCTAAAGAGGAGTTGGAGAACCTGAAGAAGCAGCATGATTTATTGAAAAGGATGCTTCAACAGCAGGAACAATTGAAGGCTCTTCAAGGAAGACAGGCAGCTCTTCTTGCTTTGCAGCATAAAGCGGAGCAAACAATTGCTGTCATGGATGATTCTGGTATGTGGAATGACAGTGTCTTTGACAGCATGTTAGCATATTGATTGAATAATTAAAGCTGGAAATGTGGAATACACATCAAGAAGTCTTTTTT